AAAGAAAAGAGAAGGAAAGAGAGAGAACAAAAAGTAAGACAGAGTATGTATATGTTAGAATTAAGATTCTAAAAAATTTACCTTACCCGAGACATCCCTGGGATTGTGGCCTTCACGTGACCACCATCTGGGGATCATCTCTAAATAAAGGCTGAAGACTTGGAACAGCTCTACAGGAAATGGCTTAATTACAAAGCAATCTGCCTTATTCATTATCCCCGCAATCTGGCCGTTTGTAGTTGCCCAATAAATATTCCTATAATAAATGAGAACCACTCAGACAGATGTTAGAATTTTCTGGAAATCTCCTAAGACACAATGTTGACTTTTCCAAGGAAGTTATGTTACCCTCTCTCTCTAGGTTTTCTGAAGAAACTCTCTAAGATAGCACATAGGTAGGAATGAAGCTCCTGGTGTGAACTCCGGCAACCCTCCTGAGCCCATAATCCCATATTTGCCCACACAAGGATGCTGACTTGAATCTGAAGGATTTCTGGAAGTTCCACAGCTGGCACAGCTGGCACAGTCCCAGCAGGCCACAGTTAGAAGATAGGAAGCCTTGTGGGAAGAAGATGGGTACTGGAAATTAACAGCACCAGCTCAGCTGGCCAGAATTCTAAGATTCCCACTCCATGGATATGCCCTACATAATCCCCTCCCCTTAAGTCAGGGCAGCACCTGTGACTGTGATGGTGCCCCTTGACTAGGTTATCAGGCAAAGATAAAGAGATTTTATAGATATGATTAAGGTGCCAGATCAGTTTGAGTTTATCAAAAGGAAGATGGTTATGGGTAGGCTTGACCTAAATCAGATAAAACTCTTTTAAAAAAAGGGACTGAGCACTTTTCAAAAAGAGGCACTCTCCTTCTGGCTTTGAAGGAACAATAGACACATTGTAAGCTGTCTGTGGAGAGGTGCAGCTGCTTGAAGCTGAGAGCCTCAGTCCTACAACCACAGGAAAGTGAATTCTGCCAACAACGTCCATGAGCTTGGAAGAGGACCCCAAGCTCCAGGTGAGAATGTGGCCCAGCCAACATCCTGATGCTGTGAGACTTTGAACAAAGCATCCAGAAACCTGACATAATAAATCTATGTTGTTTTAAACTGCTAAATCTGTGGGGATTTGTTACACAGCATTAGAATAACTAATACAGCAGGGTGGGTAAAGCTCAGTGGCATAGCGCATGCTTAGCATGCTCAAGGTCCTGGGTTTAGCCCCCAGGACGTCCATTAAAAAATAAATAAATAAATAAAAACCTAATTATTTCTCCTTCCCCCCACCCTCCAGTTTTTTTTTTTAAAGGATGACTAATATAGGCGTAGTTACTAGGAAATGTCCAACAGTGAAGGAGGGGTACAGTATATAAATACAAAAGAGTGCATGAAAGGGGAATACACTGGCATTCCAGAGTCCACCCTTGGGCACAGAACCTCTGGAAACAAGAAGTCAGAGAGCACTAGTCACATGATTGTGACTGCTCACAGGTTTGTCTTTCCCTGATCCAAGCCCCGAGGGGCCTCTGCTCTCAGTATCTCTCCTATAGAAAATTTTTACAGACTCCTCCTTGAGAGGCCCTGACCCCAGCTCTGTGAGTACAGAAGTGAAGACATCAGTATGTTCATGGTCTGGGTAAGGAGTCAGACACACAGATATGTGAGGCTGAGTGTTAGTGCTGCCTTGGAAGATTGAATGAGGACTCTAGGAGCACGATGGGCCCATCGGTCTGGGAGGGTGGGCTCCCGGAAATGTTTACAGAGAATCCATGGCATTTTTGAGTCATAAAGGGTGGGTCGAAAATATATATATATTTAATAGCTATTGCATGTGGGTAAGTTATGGGAGAAGAATAAACTGGAAATCAGCTTGGACCACTTTCGGAAGGGCCTTCCTCATATAAAAGGCTGAGAGATTTGAATGGATTTTTTGTTGTTGATAACTGATGGCAAACAACAAAAACAGTCTACACCAAGGAACGACAGGATCCACTTATGCTGTGGGAAGGCCTACATGACAGCAGACAGCAGCAGGAGGCAGACCAGGGGCAAGGGGAGCAGTAAGACAGCTAGTGCAGGATGCGGACACGTTCCACTCCCTCCTCCATCCCTGTGGTAAGCACAGGGCCCACCCAAGAGTGGGGGGCAAAAAGCACTTGTTGAATCATCAGATGAGGGCTCCAGAGGCAACAGGCCTGGAAGCAGCGAAGTTGAAAGAGAAGTTTTCAGTCACTGTGGAGCTGGGAGAGGGAGTATTTTAGGTCTCCAGGGTCTGAGGGAGGAAGAGGGCTGAAAAGGCAGAAAGTCCAGCCTCAGGACCTCTGCTGAGCTGTAGCTAGAGTGGGAAGGGGCAACCCCAAGGCCTGAGGGGCCCAGGTATCACATCCAATCCAGTACCACTTTCTAGGCCTGGGGTCCTCCCTGACCCCTGGCACGAAAGTTCAGGCACATTCTAGTTCACGCTACATTAACACCCAGTCCTCCCCATCAGCATTTTAGGGAGCTGTTCTTTTTCTGCTGGCTCATCCTTGACCTTTTCCCCAGCCTCTGGCCCGATGCTTACCCTGAGTGGCTCCTTCTCAGAGGGAGGAAGGTCATTTCAAGACAGGGCCAAAAAGGATCTCTCACTTGATCAGCTTGACCACGTGCTTCCTATTATAGATCAGGCACCCTCCTCTCTGTCTTCTGACTCAGAGATAAGATGTTCCCTTTTCTACCAATATCTAATAACTCCTCTGTCTGTGCTAACAATTCCTCCTCCCATTCATTCATTTATTCTCTTAGTCACCAACAAGTATTTACTGAACATAGACACTATTCTAGGCACTGGGATATAGCACTGAGCATGAAACGTGGAATCCAGATTCTCACAGAGCTGACATTCTAGATGGGGAGGCAGAAATAATCAGTGAGCAAATAAATGAACTAGATTTCGGAGAAATAAGTGCTCAGAAAAAAAACCCAGTAAAGTAGTCAGTGCTCCAAAACTCCTCTTGAGTTTCCTCTCTCAACATACTTCAGACCAACCACCCAATGGCCTAAGCCGAAAACTCAGGAGGCATCCTAGACTCAGTCCTTCTCACTCATTTTTCACATTCAATTATCAGTCCCCACGCCGTGTGTATTCCAACTCTCAGTGACTCTCAAGTCATCATCTGTCCTCTGTCTCACTGACACTTAATGCAGACACAATCAGTTGTTGCCCAATTTATTGCAGTATTTCCCTGATTAGTGTCCTCTCTCTGGTCTTGCCATCTTCCTGCTTGTCACACCCCTGCTTAAAATTGTTCAATGGTTCTCTACAGTTTCTCCAGTCAAGTTCAACCCCCTTAGCTTAGCAAGCAAGTCTTTCGTAAACGGGGTGCTACTGAACCCTTCAGCCTTGCCTCCCTACACTCACCTGCCCCACACAGCTTCCAATCAGCCCTCTGTGCAGGTCTGCACATGGAAGTGCTACCTGCCTTTGATCAGCTGCATGCTCACTGGACATGCCCTCTGCTCATTCTTCTCTAACTTTTTTGTTCAAAACTCAGGTCAAACATCATCTCATTTTGGAAGACACTTCTCATAATGACCCATGGAGTTTTTTACAAGGATTACATTCAGAAGGTACATGAAACCTTTAGCTCAGGGATGGCATCCAGCTTACATCTTGTTTACCTGATGGAATTGCTCATATTTAGGGCAGATGTAATTAGCAAACACATAATGTTTTCCTATTTGCAATGAATCTGTCTCAGAATATAGCCTCTGAGGTGGGGAACTTGTCTCCCTCACGGTTTTAATTAAGTGGACTCATGCACAGGAAATTTTCCTTCTCATTTATGTCTTTGTTGCTTGATCCTTATTATTATAATTTGAGCTCGTAACCACGATTCTTAATGGTCTGGAAGCAATTCTGATGGATCACAAGATTGGAGCCAAATACCTTCAATATATCATCATCCCAACAGCACACACAAAAATCATTCACTGTAGTCCCTGCCTGAGGGTTCGCTGTTGCCATTTCCAATTTCATATTGTTTCTTGCACATCTGCAGCCTCTCCCTAATCCTAGGGCACTGGGAGAATTCACCAACCTGCCACTCTCTTTGGAAGGATCTGGGACCACACACCTCTTCCAAACCAAAGTCTGTCTGGAGATGCCCTTCCTGGGTTGACCTCTGACACCGTAGCCCTGACCTTCTATGGGGCCTTAGGAACCCTCTGGAAAAGGGAAAGCTGCTTTCTGAAAATGAATTTTCCTTTGGACACGTGCTCTCTGATGAGGTTTCTCTCCCAGCATACGCCCACATGAGCACATGTCTGGCTCTTAATTTCATACTCATGAAAGAGCAGGAAACTAACTAACAAAGTGGCTGCCCTGATGCTAACGCTGTTGCTGATTCATTCTGACTTAAAATTCTTGCAACTTGTTTTTCTCCTTTCTCTAACAAACCCCCATCTCTGCTTCACTTGCTCAACAGCTTTTGTGCTAAACAGCCCCTAACCGTTCCATTACATTCGCCACTACCTATACATTCTTTACCCAGAATAGCTTATGCTTTAACCCAGAAGCTGTATTCTAGAAAGGTGGTCATGGGCTGATCGCCTCAGAAGAATAAACAGACCCTCCAAATTTTCTCCATGACACCAGGTGGAATCATCAAGATTAAAAAAATTTATATAGCACCCCAGAAAACGCCCTGATATGTTGTCACCTGTCTGTTCCATCCAGTTTTTCTGTAAAACTTCAGGACACCAACCCCACACACAGTCTCTAAGGCATGGGTGGATTCACAGTCTCTAAGGCATGAGGCTGCTGTGACTCCCCTTTGCCTGGCAAAGCAGTAAAGCTGTCCTTTTCTAATTCTCCCAAAACTCTGCCTCTGCCTCTCAGTTTGGCTATTCGGGATTCAGAGACTGGTTTTTCAGCAACACTCAGTCAGACCATCTACCTGCGGGAGTCCGTGTGTCTGAGAGTGAATTCCCCCAGAAGAGGCAGTAACAGGTGCAATTCTCTTACTTGCATTCAGCAGCGTCCGGATCCTTTTCTCTTCTTCGGCTTCCTGGACTAGCTTTTCTGCCAGCATCTTGTCCTCCGATTCTACGCAAGCGTCAGCTTCCCGCAGGTACTCCAGGTAGTCAATCTCCCGCTGGGCACGTTCCACTCTCAGCGCCAGGTTGTCTACTGCGCTCTTATACTCACTTGTGTAGGTCTGACATCTTCCCAGCATAACGGATATGTTTTTCGAGAACTCTTGGAAATCTTGAATGTATTCCCTTGTTGCTTGGGTACATTTTTGCAGTCCTTGCTTCAGTCAGAAAATAAATTCTCAAATTACTGCTGGTTATTTAAACTGCCCAAGTCATATCAATAGCTATCATTCATAGAAAAAGATTTTTAAATGCAAATAATCAAAAGAGGGGGAAATAAAAATCACCCATAATTCCTTAATTCAAAGTACTATTGACACTTTCGTGTATCAATCTTTAAAATTTTCCCATTCGGTTACGCATATATAAATATATATTTTTAAATGTGACTTCACTGTATGTACATTTTGTAACTTTTAAAATATTCCTTTTTAAAAAAAATGGGGGGTAATTAGGTTTATTGATTTATTTATTTTTAATGGAGGTACTAGGGATTGAACCCAGGACTTCGTGCATGCTAAGCATGCGCTCTACCACTGAGCTATACCCTCCCCACCTTGTAACATATTTTTAACTTGCTGATATACTGTGAACATATTTCAAACCAATTCATATACATCTATACCATAATTTTAATGACACAATTCTATTGAATTGATATCCTATTATTTATTCTATTTGATTCTTTTTAATGGACATTTATGTAGTTTTCAATTCTTTGCCTTTCAAACAGTGCTGGAAAAAAAATCTTTGTTTTTACATATCTGTGTACTTATCTGGTTCTTTTCTGAGGATGCATTTCCAGATGTAAGCTCCATCCCCAGCCCCTGACACGGGGCCTGGCACAGAGTAGTACTCAATACGTGCTCACTGAATGAAAGAATAAAGGAATGAAGGACGGAAATGGGATTGTTGGGTCAAAGAGTATGTGTCCTTAAAGAGCATTTACAGTTTATTATAAAAATATATACTCCAACCTAATTACCTCTCTCCCTCTCAAAAAAAAAAACTTTAAAAAATATATATATACTCCAAACAGCAGGGTGTAAGGCTGTTCATTGAAGAATGAAAGAGAGAGAAAGAGGATGAGACAGAGAGAAAGGTGGGGGACGCGGTGCTGGGAGGGGAGTGTGTGTGAGAGGGAGGGAGAGAAGGAGGAGAGAGAAATACAAATAAAGAAACAGAGAGAATGAGAGGGACAGAGAGTTCTCTAAACCTACCCTCCTTTTTCTTACCCTTCTTACACAAATCCCCTAGTGCAGAGATGGCATCACCTTGTTGCTAAGTGTCTGCATTGGCCAGAAGTGGTGCCACTTGAGACTTGTCTTCTCACCCCGGCCACCATGATCAAAATGGGAAGACCTATATAAATCATACCCCTATCTTGTTAAATCCACACTTATAGCTATGAGGGTATCAGTCTACACCTGATACCCTTGTCTGAAGACAGACTCCAGTATTGGGGAAACTTGCAGAGACGTGGCTGGCGCGAATCCTCAAGGCATAGCCGCGGCCAACGAAGAGGGACCCAGCCTCCAGGCATCCGGCTGCATTCGGAATCGCCTTCAGCCTGCTCTGAGGAATTTTTTTACCCTGACTGTAACCAAATAGCTTGGACTTGAAGAAGTGTCAGGAAAATACAGAAAATAAGTATTGGAGATCAGCATATCTCTGAAAGAAGAAAAATAACTGACCAAAATTTAACTTGTACCAAAGCCAGGCGTGAAGTAGGAAATAGAAAATGTCAAGGCCAGGGTGTGTCAGAGGCGAGGGTGGAAGGGTACATTTGCCACTGGGAGCCTGTCCCTGCTGCAAAAATGTTGGGTTTTGCAAATTTTAAGGAAGTGGCAGCTGCAACACGTGGAGAAAAAGGTCCCAACAGTTTCCCTCTGTTTAACATTGCTGACATCTGTTCATTTCTAAAACGAAGTCCAGTTCAGCAAAAGAAGCTCAGAGCCTCCCAGGACACCGATAGCATGACTTTTTACAGTGACCTAATGGCTTATCATAAAAAGAGAAAAAGAAAACTAAAATCTGCTATCATTCCGATACAGTAAGACATGAAGAAAAAGTGACCAAGATGTTTAATTTTCCTATTTTAATAACTGAGCAATTGAATAATAACATTTTAGACATTCACCACCATGCCAGGCAATGTTCTAAGTATCGATTAATTTATTAAATCTCCAGAATAGCCATAGAGAGGTAAATTCTGTTATCGTCTCCATTTTACAGATGAGAAACAATGCCAAATTAGAGGACAGAGGAAAGCTCTGCTCAGGGTCTGAGGGTGGTGCCAACTGGAGTTGGGGCTCTAAACCACTAGACTGTGAAAAACAGGAAGTGTACCTTTAGCCATGTATTCATCACTCACTGTCTGTTAAAATACATCCCAGTAGGTAGGGAAGCGAGGGTAAGATAAAGTGACTTCCAGGAGGCGTGTTCCCGGATCAGGTGCACGGATGCCACGTACCTCCAGAATTCGAAAACGCTGGTAGATGTAGTGCACCATGGCCGGGTCCTGGGCCCACTGCAGCGGGGGCAGGAAGGCCGTGAGCAACAGAACCCTGAACGCAGAAGCTTGCCTAAGAGCCAGCATCGTCCTGCAAACCACCCAGGGCGGGAATCTCTTACGCTGTTGTTTCTTGAAGAAGGCTCAAGGCTCCAGGTGGTGGTCTCCTGCTTTCCAGCCCCCGCTGAGAAAATCCTCCAAGAATGGCCGGAGAGCAAAGTCTGCGAGTTACTCCCTCAGATGCATGACCTCACTTTGCAAGCTGGTGATCAAGTCCAGCTGTTGGCAAGCAGGCTGGCTTGGGGTAGAGAGCTCCCTGGGTCCAGCATCTGTTGCCATCACCTTTGACACACCCTGCCCCTCCCTAGGCTAGTGGCTGCACCCTCCCCCAGGCCTGGGTGCCTGTGCGTGGGGGCGGGGTGGGGGCGGGGAGGACCTCTCCCCTGTCCCCAGCTCTTCCCTTTGTACTTGTGCTTTCCTCCTCCCTGGAGAGCTCTGCAGTCCAATCACAGGCCTGAGCTCACACACACCACCCCCAACTTCTCAGAGTTGGAATCTCAGTTCAGTTTCTGGCAAAAATTCCGGAGATCCTTTTCCCAGAAGTCCTGTTGGAAGACCCCACCCCTCCTCCAGACTCTCTGTGCATTCCTGCAGCTCTTAAAGGCGCAGCAAGGAAAAAGAGAGCTCTGGTATACCCTGTCTCTGAGCAGCCAGTGCACAGGGCTGAGGGTCCCTTGGGGAGAGAAGTCCAATGGGCCACAGGCCTGGCCACCCAGGGAGACAGTTGAAAAATCTGAGTTTCAAGCTCAGAAGAGTTTTATTCAGCGGCACATTTATTGACACAGTGACGCTTCCAGAGCCAAGCCATCAGGAAATGGAACTCCTTAGTGAGAAAGACCTTGAGTTTTCTGTCTCTTGCAGCAGAATTCCCTTCACCTGTAGCTGCAGGCCAGCAACACCTAGGACTCAACTCCTGCAGGCCCATGTCCAGTTGAAGATAAATCATGTCCCTAGGACAAAGTGATGAAATCTTCCAATTTTTTGCCTTTGCTGTCCAGGCCTTTATTTATCTCAACCTCTCTTTCCATGGATGGGTCCAGAATATTCATGGTTCTTTCTCAACCACCAACCAAAGTGGAGAAGGTTGGGGGCATCTCTGAGAAGTGGGAAGAACTCTGACCAGGAGTCAGAAGACCTGCAAGAGACACTAAAAGAATTTTCCATTGTGGCCCTTGCATGTCCTTGTCCCCATTAGCTGTTCTCTACCTCCCTTTCAAGTGACTTTAGCCTCTAACTGCTCCTCCTCACCCTCTTGATCAAATCACAGACATGGGCTCCTCATCCTTAACAACAATTCCTCCTATTTCCAAAAACTATCTTTGATGACAGTCAGCCCTCTGTACCTGCAGATATGGAGAGCTAAGTGGACTAAGCCATTTTGTATAAGAGATGTAAGCATCTGCGGGGCGTGGGGAGGGGATGGGGGTGTTCCCCGAATGACCTCCCTGTGGATATCCAGGGGCAACTGTATTTCCCCAAACTAGGTGAACTTCTGGTGATCCCTCCTCTTAAATCCTCATAAAAAATACTGCCCCACTCAGCCCCCTTCTTCAAGTGAGAGGGCTCTTTTGGAGACTTCTCAGGCCTAGCATTTTGGAATAAAGTCTTACGCTAAAGGTGCTGTTTGATATTCTCAGTGAACGTCTCAAGTCCTACCTTGGATTCGGTGAACTAAGATGGGTAAGATCCAGGGAAAGGGAAACTCCAACTGCATCACAGTTAACTTTTCAGAGATGGCATTTTGGATAACCTTTTCCTTACATTATTTTTGCAGTGAAATGTGCATTCCATTCTAATGGTGTCTAGAGAATTATTGGAGACTGAGCGGGAACACAGTGCGCAGCCTGGTTGTAACGTGTTCTTGGGCTACCTCCAGGGCTGCTGTTGTCCCAGTGTCTCTGGTTGGGGCTCCAAAGAGCTTGGCCTCAGAGCCCTTCAGTTCAGTCCTGGCAGACGCTTCTCTCTGCCCACCATTGGTTCAGCCACCACACCGCTCTCTGCAGTCACCTGCTTCATGGGGACAAACCCGGCCTCTCCGCTCTAACTGCCCACACCTGGTCTTGGTTGGCGAGCATTACTCTTTTGATTCCAGAAGCAGCAAAACCTGCAGCTGGCTCCCCTAACCTGTTAGAATTGACAAGCCACAGGGCAGAACCAGAGTGGAAACCCTCATGTTCTTGTGACCAGAAGTTTCATTAAGGAAAATTAAACTCCCTTTGGAGATCATCACCACTTTGGCTAACATACGGTGGCCAATGCAGCCATCTTTATTCAGAGCAGGTCTTCCTCAGTGAAAGAGATGGCTTGGTGCCCCTGAGCTTGCTGTTGGGATAAAATAATTTGCTTGGCTCTTTTGACTTCCTTACA